AAATAACAAATCCATATCCCCTGTCAGAGGTAGTCTCTTTTTCCTCGCAAAGATAGCCCAGAAAGTTTAAACAATGTGCTAACACCGTGGAGCCGTGTGTTTGCTTCTGTGGCAGTGAACACCACGTGTATACACTCTTCTCCGGCCAACCGTTGCCTCCTGCGGAGCCCATGATCTCAGTTCCGTCATTCTCTGCTGGGACCCAGATCAGCTGTCCTGAGCCAAGGCTTCCCCTCGGCTGTCACTGATTACCCAGACCTGTCACATGAAGCCTTTCCGGCCAGCCAGCCAGCTCAGCCGCGCTGCCGATAAGCTGACCATGTAGCTTCTCATGTGGAGAAGGTCTCACGGTGTGAAAGGCGATGTTATCGAAAAACTCAGTCCAACACAAACATAACTACGTGAGTGACATGAAGCACACGAGTATTTTTGCTAGCTGTCACTGGATTATTTACTTACTTCAGGGTATCACAAGTTTAACTGCTTTGCTTAATCACATCTCAAGCAGATACTTGAGAACAAGAAATCATTGGCTCCGTCCACTGAAAATTTTAAGGCTGCTTGGACAGCTGCCTTCCCTGCTTTAAGCGATCTATTAAAAGTCTAAATTGCCCCTTATTGTTGCCTTAATACTTTACAGGCAGTCCCTCCCCAGGACTCCTAACCCAAATGGTGTATCTCAATGTGGCTTTGTCTGGAAGAGAAGAGCCACGCTACAGATCCCACTGGACTAATCCTCAATCCTGTCGTTGCTTACAGTATCAGGGGAATAATGGACTGGATTGTCCCAGGTCAACCTTTTCTGTTTGATTTTCCTTGCAGCTGAGGGCTAAACGTGTGCACGCACCCGTGAGAGGCAGTGCAGCAGCACCTCCACTTGCAGGCATCTCTCTCCCTGAAGATGTGGGGCTTTGCTGCTTCGCACGACCTGCTGCTCACCTCCCCAAACCCTTCACACCGCTCCAGAGGACAACAGGGAATATTTGTTTGCCCTTCAGGATCTCAGGTGCAACTGGCCGGCCCCACTAGGGTACACCATCTCATGCCTGGCCCAACCTGCATTTCAATGTCCTAACCGTGATCAAGCACAGACAGACAGGGCATGGTTACATGGAAATGCAAAATACTATCCCTTCTGCCCAACAGAAAGGTGGACTGAAGCTCAGACAGGCTGTGTAACTCACTGAACATCATGATTACGGCTTGTCTACATTGCCAAATGGATGTTAGCATTGAATTCACAGAATTCACAGAATTGTTAGGGTTGGAAGGGACCTCTGGAGATCATCTAGTCTAACCCTCCTGCCAGAGCAGGGTCACCTACAGCACGTTACACAGGACAGCGTCCAGGCGGGTTTTGAATGTCTCCAGAGTGGGAGACTCCACCACCTCTCTGGGCAGCCTGTTCCAGTGCTCCACTACCCTCAAAGTAAAGAAGTTCCTTCTCATGTTAAGATGGAACTTCCTATGTTCAAGTTTATGCCCATTACCCCTCGTCTATCAACAGCCCAAGGTGGTAAATCAAAAAGGGTTATCATAGCTTGTATTTAATGGCTCAGGCCTGGATGATATGTATACAGTACCCAGGTGCCGAGTGTAAGCTGGTGAGTTGGCCTCTTTACAGGACTTATCAGCTGGGATGGGCAGGCTCACCAGCATGGCCATATGGCTGCTGGGCTGAGCGGGTTCAGCTCGCCCTCTGCCCTCAGCACATGCCTGCGCCGAGGTTCGTATGGGCAGAGCTAGCAGGGTCTGCCTGCGTCCTCTGGCATAAGAACACATAAAGGAGAACAGACCGCAACTGTGAATTAAGCATGTCTCCTAAGTCCCACCCAAGCACCACGGCAAATGAGCTCTCTCTCCCCTGTTACAACGAGCGAGGAAACTCAGCGGTGGTACAAGGCTTTCCTCTAAGCGTTCAAAACTCCTCGGCAGACCCACTTGGCCTACACTACAGCACAGAGAAATAAAAGCAGCTAAGGGAATAAAAGTGCCCTAGGACCACTGTAAATCTTTACTTCATGGAAAATCTTATCTTGCACATGAATATGAGCTGCGAGTAAATTTAATGTGTGGATTAAGTACTGTGCGGTCTCCCTCATGGTGGGCTTTTCAGCCTAAAAAGAACAAAAGAATAATAATGAGTGTTGTGTTTGGGTATGATTACAAACAGCTGTAATTTACAGCTGGACATTCTCCATTGCAAACGTATCCAGCAAGCAAGTGCTTCTGGGTTAGTGAAACGCTGCAAAAAATTAGCTTTTAACTTCAGCCTTAAGGTCAGAGTTCTGGGACCATGGGAGTCAATAATAAAATCTATTTAGCTCAGCAGGATTAAGCAGGTTTAAGACCTGGCTTAACCACACTGCTTACTGTTAAATAACAACAGAACACACTGAATATTTTAGTTACAGACATTTTTCTTCATTTGAAAGCGATTCAGGCAGTGGATACGAGAGTCAGACAATTGAAGATATGCTAGCACTATACTATTAAGGTATATGAGTTACGTTCTTGCTCTTCTCTGTCCCAGAAACTGAGCAATCTGTATAGTTAGACCACTTTACTGAAGAACACAATAAAATTAAAACCAAGCTGTGCTGTATAAACACCGAGGGTTTTTCATGAGAGAATGAAAAGCTAATGGGGCCAGTGCATCTTTCCTGACAAAATAGTCGGTGCATGTGCAGAGCAACCTGTCTTCTGGAAGCAGAAAAGCTGTTTCAGTCAAGCTTCTGGGTCACTAATCTTTGTGTTTGCACATAAATCTGCTGGGGGTTACTGTGTCATTCTGAAAACAAGACTGAGTGCAATACACTAAAGAAATCAATGGCTACAGGTTTAAAAACCCTTCTCCCCCCCCACCCCCTTTCCGTGTAGCTAACTGTTACCTTTTTATCAGAACGTGAAAGCAAAAACTGCAACAAGAACTGCTGGAGAATATTTAAAAAAAAAAAAAAAACAACAACAAAAAAACCAGGAGGAAAAATTACTGAGAGCTTTATTTAAGCTGCCATCTCCCTTGGCGCTGGGAAGTGCTGGTGTGTGACCAGGAGCTCTTAGTTGCTACTGGGACACAAGTAATGAGCAACAATATCACAGCCATCCTTACTTTAGCCAAGACCAGACAGAAACTGCCATCACAGCGTGGGTTTTTGGCCCCCTGCCCTTCCATTCGCTTGCTGCAGTGAGGTTACAGGCGGCAGAGACGCAGCCCCCCCTTGCCCCCACAGCACCCCTAGCCCTCCCAGCACCCCATCCAGAGGGAGGGGAGGAGGGTGCCCCGATGGCCGAACGCTTGCAGAGCAGGTGGGAAAGCTGGTGTCCAGGCATGCTTTTAGGGGCAGAGAGGGGAATATCTGACCATAAATACTAAATCTGAGGTGTGACAGGCAACGTTGTGGCCCTTTTGCCCTGAGGATGAGGGCAGCCTGCGCCCAGCTGCCTCACCACCTGTGATGAGGTAGGGACCATCTATCCATCACCACCACTTTTCTTTCTAGTGGGGACAGAAAACGCACTGTGGGGTTTGGGGCTTGTCAACTACCTCCAG